ATTCATCCTGTATGGTCTCTTTAAATCCTTAAATTTCCCATATATCCAGCTTTTTCCTTCTGGAGATTGGTCAATGTGAGTGGACACTAACGTATGTCATGGACCCACTGGATTTAACGCAGGCTTTGTGGGGGGATCCAGACATAATATTACTGTTGTTGGGAACCTCAGTCAATTTTTTTTCATCTTTGACTAATAGACATCTGTCCTCTGCTTGAATTATTATAATGTCAGAAAATGCTTGAATTTCCAAGATAGGTCACTCCTTTACTGAGCAGAGCGTTTTATATGGAGAAGTCTATTTTGAGCAAAATATACCAACCTACAACTTCCACCAATTGGGCAAGGTTTCCCAATAAAGAGAAAGTGGCTCACTTCCCTACCCCAGCACAACAGAAGAGCAAACTACCTCCCTTGGGTCTCAGTACTTGAATCTTTGAAATTTAATAAGACATTTCCAGCCCAGAGGGCATTCTGAAAGAAATCTCAAACTTAAGGCATGTCTTCTGTTCCTGTGAGATTGATGGTTGCCATGGGAATAGGGAGGGGGGTGCTGTCCTCAGGCACTACGTGATTTCATCCCAGCAGAGCTCCTGCTGGGACCTAAGTGCCTGCTAAGATTTTATGGAGGTCCATCAGCTGGGCTAGCACAGGAAGTGCTGGGTCCCTCTGCCCCAGAGCGAGGGAACATGATTTATTTAGTGTGTATGGAATGACTCTAAAATCCTTGCCTTGTTTCCCTCACAGAAAAACATAGAAATTTCAATTTTATTAGAACTCTAGGCTCCTGTTTTCAGTCATAATTCTGGGGTGGATTTCAATGATTTATAATTAAAAAACAGCATCCCAATAAACCCTCCGCTGATCAAGTAGCCATCAGTCCACTGTATGCATCTAAATGCAGGTCCACATGTTCAGCTCTTGATTCTTCTGTGGCCAGACCCACGAGAAAGCAGCCCAGACTGGCTTCAGTAGGATCGTCAGCATGACTCACCAGGGCTGGGAATTTCAGCTGAGAATTCAGTTAGTCCAGCAGGCTATTTCACAAACTAATGAGAAAGTCTGCTCTTGGAGAGAAACACCACCCAGAAGACAACAGGGCCATGTTGTTTAGAAGGACACTGGCAGCTCAGACAGGCAGCCAGGAGACAACTAATGTAAAATTCAGGCCTGGATTTTTTAATGGTTCTGTATGCTAGTGGGGCGGGGAAGAGCATTTCTTGATAGTAAAAGCCCTATCTCTAGAGACCCTGAAGAACCCTAGGAAAGCCTCAGTCCCATTCATCACCAGTATTTTGTCAGAAAGTAGAAAAACTGGACCTATGTTAGGTCCTTAAATAGATTTAGCAACATCTTTGCCAGTTCAGACAGAACACCAGCTAGCATTACCAAAGTGACTATGTCACCTAGGTGTTCTTGATTATATGGATGTGATCAAGAAGTAGACCATTCCTAAGACACTTCCCCAATATAATCATAAATTAAAAAGCATCATTATATTCCATGGTGGCCGTTCTTGCTAGCTGTAATTCTTCCTTGGAAATTTCAGTGTCCAGTAAAAAGCCACTTTCTTTAAATAATAAGGAGGTTTGTTGTGCAGGGCAGAAATTACCTGAAAAAGTGTGCTACCAGCCAGCTTCTCAACATTAGACTACGGTCATGGGTCCATGACGTGCTTATTATAAGTTAGGTTTTTAAAAATTATTAAAGATATACAAAAATATATAAAGAACACAGTGAACTCCTATGATTTGCTACGTAGCACAGGAAACTTAAAAATGACCTATAAACTTGAAGCCTCTCCATACCATTCTCAATCTCATTCCCATAGACTCCCGGAAGTGACTGCTATCCTAAATCACATGCTTTTTATTCTCAAGCATTTCTTTGTAAAATTAATACACAGCTTTGACTTGAATGCATATTTTGGATAAAAGATATTTCACAGATTTTTCTAAAGTTTGCTTTTTTTACTCAACATTATATTTGAAGGATTCATCCACATTAATACAATTCCCGTTCATTCACTTGCATTACTAATTAGTTTTTTCCTCTTTTCCTGTTGATAAATATATAGGTAGTTTTTATTTTGGTCAAAGAATATATTCTTTCAGCTTTACTCGTTTTTGTCAGATTGTTCTTCAAAGCAGTTTTACTAACATACACTCAGACGGGCAATTATTAGGGTCCCTGTTGCTTTACATTTTTGCTAACACCTGCTGTTGCCAACCACTTACAATTTCTGCCAACCTAAGGATATACCATTATGATATTAATACCTTATCTCTGATTTTGAGTGATGTAAGCATACTATTACATCTTTTAAGCTAAATTTGTTTCCCAATTTTTCTCTTCCATTTCTTACATTAAATATTGCCCGCCTTTTCATACACAAACACTTACCCGGAACTTTCCACTGATATTTGTATTCTGGAAGGCAGGAACATAGAGGAATTCTCAATTCTTAACACAGGGTCTGGCCCAAATAAGGTGCATACTACATATTCTCTGAATAAATGAAATTGTATTTTGTTGACTCTGAATTCACTACAGGTTTTGATGACAGAAATTTTCAACTAGCCTCTCTGGCTATAGCAACTTCCTGCTGTGTGTCCTTCTGGCACAGCATTGCTAGTTATTTTTGTCACTTCCAGGTTTAAGAATCTCCCACAGCTCTCTATGGCTGAGCAGGACAGGTTAAACTTCTCATGCAGACAGGCAGTTATGGCCCTTCCTCGAACGGAGCGCCCTTGTCTATTCCACTTTTGTTTCACTGTGGCTCTAATAGGAGCCCTCTGTTCTGTGCAAGTTGGTTTTCTTACTCTTCCCCTCCTGAGATACCTTATGGACTATGAAGGCTATTCATAGAAACTCCATAATTTTGTACATATAGAAAATACTGAATATTTTGTATTAGCTTGTAAGAACATTGAAGGGCAGAGTCTTCATCTTTTCATACCTCGAAGACTGTAAGCATAATCATTGGTTTTTAGATGAATGGACTGTGGGTTTTTTGTTTCCTTGGGTAAATTTTGGAAGCAAGGTCATCCAAAAACTCACCTCTAGTATAAAACTGATGACGTGAGTGTAAAAAAGAACCTAGGGATTAGCAATCATAATTCTCATGATGAAAACATGCTGTAAGTAGGTACCAGGCACTGTGTTCTATAAGAAAGATAAAAGACTTTTTTCATCAGTTTTCTGAAAGGGCTTAGAATATAAAAGACAAGACAAACATTTTCATAGCTACATCTCCCTCTCTCGCTTCCTATATATCTACATCATCTTCTCTATGCACAGTTGTAGAAAAAACTTACCCTGTCTGGGGTGTTTACACACAAACTAAGAACCAGAAAATGTGATCTTCAGAATGGTGCTTGGAAGTCATTCCTGTGACTTAAAAAGGTCAGCTCCTTTTTTTGGTTTTGTTTTGTTTTGAGACAGGGTCTCACTCTGTTGCAGTCACAGCTCACTGCAGCCTCGACCTCCCTGGGCTCAGGTGATCCTCCTACCTCAGCCTCCAAAGTAGACTACAGGTGTGCACCACCACACCTAGCTTATTTATTTTTTTCTTTTTTTGTAGAGACCAAGTCTTGACGTGTTGCCCAGGCTGGTCTCAAACTCCTGGGCTCAAGTGATCTGCCCTCCACTGCCTCCCAAAGTGCTGAGATTACAGGTGTGAGCCACTGTGCCCAGCTGGGTCAGCTACTTTCTTTCAGAAAATGATAGGCTTACAGAGAGATTAAACTCAGAAAGGACTAAATGCAAATAGCTGAGATCTTGCCTTCTCTTCCTTCTTACAGTGAATAAATATGCATCCAGAATGAAGTGAGGCAATAAAGGTCCTTTATATAGGAAGATTCATAAAGGACAGAAAGCCAAATAGAGATCTAGAGTCCAACCTGTTTTTCCTTTTGCTATATTTTCTATTGGTACATGCTGAACAGACATCTTTCTTATACTAAAAGCAGAAGCTCTATGCTGAGGGAAAGAACAATGAAGTCTGCAGAAAGCTGAGGTTCTAGTTCTGTACTACCTACTATCAGAAAGGAGAAATGAAGTGGTACCATTGGTCTCCAGGGTCTGTCTAGGTCTAAAATTCTATGTCCCAATGATTCTAAAGTCAGAAATGTCCTACCTGCATGTTACATTTGTTGACAAATCCAATAATTTGAAGATATTCTGTGTGTATATTTAAAGTTTTGAAGACACAAGTGTAAGTTTTTTCTCAAAATATAGATAGTAGTTAAAAATATGAAATCACTTAACCACACTGAATACTTGGTAGAATTTCAAAGTCTCTAACAATTTTGAAGGGAAGCACTTGAGTTTTCCTGGAACCTGTACTTTAAAACCAAGATCTTTCAGTAGACAGTTGCTTGCAAGGGGAAATCCAAAGGAAAACAAATATTCACCCACTTAAAAGAAAAAATTTCTTCACATAAATAGCCAAACTCATGCAAAAATGCTTGACATCAACAATCATCAGAAATGCAAATCAAAACCATAATGAGATACCATCTCACACCACTCAGAATGGCTGTGATTAATATTAAAAAGTTAAGGCCAGGAGCAGTGGATTATGCCTATAATCCCAGCACTTTGGGAGGCCCAGGCAAGTAGATCACTTGAGGTCAGGAGTTCCAGACCAGCCTGGCCAACATGGTGAAAACCTGTCTCTACTAAAAATAACAAAAATTAGCTGGCTGTGGTGGCAGGTGCCTATAATCCCAGCAACTTGGAAGGCTGAAGCTAGAGAATTGCTTGAACCCAGGAGGTAAAGGTTGCATTGAGCAGAGGTCATGCCCTTGTACTCCAGCCTGGGTGACAACAGCAAAACTCTGTCTAAAAAAAAAAAAAAGTCAAAAAACTGATGCTGCTGATGCTGCAGAGAAAAGGGAACACTCATACACTGCTGGTGGGAATGTAAATTAGTTCAGCCACTGAGGAAAGCAGTTTGGGGATTTCTCAAAGAACTTAAAACAGGACTACCATTTTACCCAGCTATCCCATTACTGGGTATATATCCATAAGAAAATAAATTGTTCTACTAAAAAGACACATGCACTTGAATGTTCATCACAGAATGATTTACAATAGCAAAGACACAGGATCAACCTATGTGCCCATCAACAGTAGATTCGATAAAGCAAATATGGTACATATGTACCATGGAATACTATGTACCCATGAAAAAAGAATGAAATCATGTCCTTTGCAACAACATGTATGCAGCCTGAGGCCATTATCCTAAGAGAATTAATGCAGGAACAGAAAACCAAATACTGCATGTCCTAACCTATAAGTGGGAGCTAAACACTGGGTACATACACATGGACAAAAAGATGGCAAAAATAGACACTGGGGACTACTAGAAGGGAAAGGATGGGGCAGGCAAAAGTTGAAAAACTAACTGCTGAGTACTATACTGACTACCTGGGTGACAAGATCAGTCGTAGCCTAAACCTCAGCATCAAGCAATATACCTGTGACACAAAGTTGCACATGTACGCCCTGAATCGAAAGTAAAAGTTGAAATTATAAAAGTAAAATACAATTTCAGATGTCTTTCCAGTTAGCTTACATTCTGTTGGAAATTCTGAACACTACTAAATGGACTGGATATAAATAAAAAATGTTCACTGTCCTTGACAAATGTTGGATGGAGAGGAAATACCATCAGTCATTACTGAAAATATTATTAATTTACTTTGAAAGGTCTGAGTCTCTGAGGGAAGGAAAAGAGGTATGATTAATTTTTATTTATAATGAGTATAAAGAGAAAGATCAGTTTTCCAGAAAGCACAGATAAGGTATAATGCATGTGTGGAGATCTTAAGTGGCTTAAACATACAGATTTACTCTCCCAAACCAGTGTAAGTATTGTATGAAAGCCCCCCAAAGCCTTATCTGAAATTGAAGCACCTTTTGTCTCTCTGCTCTGTCACTGTAGGCTTTAGCTATGGAATCTATATTCCAGGCCTCCAGAAGGAGAGGAGAAAAAGAAAAAACACCCATCTGTAAGCTGAGTTAGATCCTTTTAAAGATCCTTCTTAGCTGTTTCACACAATAATTCTGCTTTCATCACACTGGGAGGAACTTAGTAATACAGTCACACCTAGCTGCAAAGGAGGCTGTGAAATCTAGTGTCTTAGCTGGGTATAATAGGTTCTGGAATAAAATTAGGGTTCTGTTATTAAGGAAGAGGGGTATACTTGATATTGGTATCAAGTATCAGAGGGTGCTTGATATAGACAACTAGCAGCCTCTGCTTTAATAACCATAAGGGGAAATTGAAATTGAACATTAGAAAGGATGAAGTGGTATATGAAGTTAGACAATAACTTTTCTTACATCCCAAGTTTGTGCAGTATGAATGCTACTGCTTGTGAGTCACCGAGGCCCTAGATTTACCTGCAATACCATGTTGAGTAGCAAAATAATAATGAAAAGTCATTATTCCCTCTTGATCTCAATTATTTCCACATAAAAAATGAGAAAATCTATTATGTATCAGTTTTCAGACTTTTTCTTAGCAGCAGAATTCTTTCTTCAAACAAGATTTATGCAGTTTCTCAGATAAGACTGACAAAAGGGAGAACTTACTCCCACTGAATTGGGGGTTGCGGATTAGGATCTTCATACTGTGATCTTTGTTCTCCAGTATGGCCTCTGAGATACCCCAGGGCTGTAAGGACAAAAATGTGAAATACACTGGTCTTTATGTTTTTTAGACTTCAACAATTTAGAGTTTCATGACTCAGACCAAAAATAAGGGCTTTAGAAGCTTTTGTCTTTTTCTTCTAATACTTACTAAACAAAGGATTTGGGGGAGAAAACTTCTCTGAGAAGCCTTCTAATATCTGACCTTGTTTGGATAAAATAAAACATAAAATTTGACCCTCTGTAGGGTTTCTCTGGAATTCCTTACAATCACAGATCTCTACATCTTACATATCTTGCCATTTATTAGAATTAGATAAGTAGCTGAATTAGATGTGTGCTATTAAGGTTCTCAATGTTTCCTTCCATGAAGTGTTACTTCTAAAGACCACAAAAGCATTGTTTAGCTAATCTACATCTGATGACACCTGAACTTCTATACATTTCTTGATGCTTGGATTCTATCCAAAGGTGAATATTTGACTCTCTTCCATCTAGTCAATTTAATATGGTTATGCAGAGGGGGAAGATATTGTCCTACAGGAATTTTAACCAAAGTGCTGGAGTTTAAATTTCATGTGTGGCTTTTCCTTTATGAGGATTAGCTGCTGTGCAGGTCTGAAAAAAATGCTGGGGAGAAGTAAAATTATAGATAGAGATGGTGTAAAACCAAGGGTGGCTTTTGAGTCACACTTAATAGGAATATAGAACTCTTTACACTTTCCAAGTTTTCCCCATTCTACTGGGACTCTTAAACTGAAATAATAATCTCTTTCCCCCTTTAAATAATTCTTGTCCTACTTTTAAGACTACTAGGGGAATAAAATAAAACACATGCAAAACTTAACATCAGCATTACTAAAACATATGTAACAGCATGCAGAAACTCCACAGATCTTGTAAAAATCCACTTAGGACCACAGAGAAAATCACCAAAAGCATGGGCCAAAATATACCTGAATGGAGAGTGTGTGTTTGGAGGGCAGGAAACTCAGTTTATTCTTGGTCTTGTCATTACCCAAATCTGGACAGTCATTTTTATCTACCTGAATTTTTCTCTCACCCTTTATATAATTGATTGATAGTCCTTTCTTGTTTTTCAGAAATATTGGGAATATTTTGTTCATTAACCTAATATTCTTGGGTCAAATGAAAGAAAGTGGCTCAATAACTCAAGGGGTATTATACCCACAACAAACACTAATGAAATACAAGATGATATGGTTCTTGTCGTCATGGGACTGGCATTAGATCTAAGGTAATTTACAGAATACAGAAGTTCATGATTATCTACTATTCTGCATAAATCCATAGCTCTTTGGCCAGGTTCTCAATTAGTGCTCTAGATTATTTAGTCCTCACATTCCCCTGACGTCTAGATGTTGTCGCCTTTATTTTTAACCTAAGGTTTCAAAACATCGTTTTACATGCTGTGAATTTTCTTGCCTCCTAAAACTAGTGCTCCAAGTGGTGAGAGATGATGTGCTACAAATCAATGGACTTTCAGATTTTTCTCTTCACTGCTGAGGTCACTAGGGCCCTTTCTTTCTCAATTCTAATAGTTCCAAATAGCCCAATGTCTCTAGTCCCTTGACCTTGAAATTTGGGCTTGCGTCCACAATATTCAGATCTGGGAGGCAGCCCAAGTATAGCTCTTGTCTGGCTGCAGCCCAAAAGTTTGGTGAAACTCCTAGAAACAAAATATCTATAAACAAACAAAATTAACTAATGCAGCACTTTTATGCCATTTGAATTTAAATCAAAGCAATTATTTTTTAAAAGTCACACAAAAGCATATAAGGAATTTTTTATTGGCCAAAAGATATTCTTTAGCAACATGGTGGTTTTTAGGAACAGGGTGGCTAAGTTTTTGTTTTGTTTTGTTTTGTTTGGTAGTTGGGATTGGCTTATAATCAGTGGACATCTGGACAGTAGGCAAACTTGAAATGAAAGCTAGATTGCCCACCAATGTCACACTGCAGAGCATTGCTATAGAAGCCACTGGAAAAAGTATTAGAAATATATTTACATTACACATGCAGCTTAGATCATTTCTGGGATAGAGTCTGCATGTTTTCATGGCCTATCTAATAGTTTTTGTTGCATAGAGAACCCCAGGACAATTCACAAGTTAAAGACTAGTAGCATGGGAAAGAATTCTCCCTTTTAAATAAGAGATCTCTCTCAATTATAGCTCAAGTAACACATGCAAATTATATATTTCAACTACAGGTACTAACAATATTTTAGTAAACATTATGAGCTAAAGAATTCTAGTCATGAGTTTTAAAACTCTTATTTAGATATTTTCCTATTTGTAATGTCTATCTGCTAACTCATTGATTTCTTCATTAATTTATTTAGCAAAGAGTGGTTGAACATTTTTTATGTACTAGCAAAATGCTACGCATAACAGTTGCATAAGCAGGTAGAAGATACAATCAAATCTTATGTGGTGGTTTTAAAATAAGCCCATAAATTATTTTATGCTTCTCTCTTCAAAAAATAGAGCTTAAATTCCTGCCCCTTGAATGAGGGCTGGATTTAGTGACTCATGTCTAACAATAGAATATTGCAGAAGTGACTCAATGTGCCTTCTAAGACTAGGTATGGTAGTGTGACCCTGTAGTCCCATCTACTCAGGAGGCTGAAGCAGGAGGGTCAGTTAAGCTCAGGAGTTTGTGTTTACAATGAGCTATGGTTGTGCTACTGCACTCCAGCCTGGGTGACAGAGTGAGACTCTATCAATCAATCAAATCAATTAATCAATAGAAATAAAGGGCATTGTGGCTTTGTCCCTCCTTTCTCTTTTCTATTACACACATTGGGGAGGTTATCTGCTATGTTGCAATGGCACTCAGGCAGCCTTATGGAGATGTCTTAATGTGAGGACCTGATATTTCCAGCCAATATCCATGTGAGTGATCACCTTGGAACTGGCTCCTCCAGATTCTCAGGTAAGGCTATAGATAATCCAGCCGCAGCTAATATTCTGATCATAGCAACACGGGAAATCCTGAGCTAGAATCTTCAAACTAAGCTGCTCCAGAGACCTAACCTTCAGAATTCTGTGAGATCATAAATGTTTATTACTTTCAGATACTTGGTTTTGGGGGTAATTTGTCATGCACTATTCAGAGGTTTCATAAGTATCTCACAAAAAGGATGCTTATTTCCTTAGCATCTATTCTTCTTTCCTTCACTCTTTAGAGATTCATATATAAAGACTTAGTATGCCTAAAAGTAAGGATTTACTCTTTTTGCTATGAGAATAAAGAGATTATTCACCAAGCATCAGGACTTGGCTGGTATGGTATGCTGGCAGGAACTAGAAGAACATGTTTTGAATTGAAGCTTGAGGGTAGTAGACCAGGAAGGAT